CAAGGTCACGATCAGGCTTGTCTCATCTTTAACATTTTCAAAAAGGTTTTTCCGAAATCTGGAATGTACAGGTCAGATGTAGCTTGATAATTCCACTTTCCTGAGATGAATAAAGCTAGCTCTTAAAAAAGTCTGACACAAACCAGTCTTTTTATGTCCCTTGAGTCCAAAGAGAATGTAATCTTTCTGGAGGGATGTCCAAAGAAACTCCAGAAAGAATTTTGAAGAGCTTTGAACATGATAACCAGCTGGTTGTGAAGCAGCAGGCTGCTGCTACAGAAAATGCTGCAAAGCTAATAATAGCCTGGAAATAATGGCTTGCTAGCTTATACTTTCAGAATATCTGCCTGAGTATATCGCCTTCATGTGATACTGAAGTATTTCAGCTCAGAGACCACCTTTGTAAACCATCCTTTTCAAGAATGTGAGGTATAGAGGCATACCATGTGATACATGTTTTCCCACTAAATAATCCCAGCTATCATATCTTTAGTTCACTGGCTTCTGAGACAACATATAAGCTCATATTATTCCTGTTTAAAAAAGTATGCTGTATATACACAAGGGAAATGACTTCTTTTTTTCTAAAACATGGTAAGATGTAGAGCTTATAAAAATGATAGTTTGACTGAGTATGCTTATAAAATTATATACTTTAAGTGTCTACTCTGGTGGTACTTGGGCTCAGACAGGACACAGACATATGGGAAGACTTATTTAAGATATCAAAGCTGCATATTGATGCTGAATAATTCAATCTTTTATGCATTACCAGTGTGAAATAGGTTACTGGTAAGTATTGTTACTAGGCCGGCTCTTCCAGCCTCAGACTTGAAGTATATGTAGACTATGTAACATTAACACTGATCTGACCTGAATTGAGTCAGAAGTCTGTATGATAGAGACATTATTAGGTTTTACCTATCCAATAAGGACTGTTAACAAATATTCCAGAAGGGTGGAACTGCTTCCATTGTTAATTAATACTACTTACCATAAAGCTAACTTAGTTTCTTAGTGCTCAGCTCTATCGCATAGCCCAATATACCTGTAATATCCATGCATGTTATTTTGCCCTGAAAGTAGCTCAGTAAATACAGAGGAACCCCCAGAATAACAGGTACAAATGGAGCTGGCTTTATTATGTGTCTTTGTAATGCATTGGGTCACTTAATTTCTCTGGTTGCACTGACATCTCCTGTCTGTACTGAAATGCATGGGAGCACCTATCCTGTCACTCTGCTGAAGGGGTGTTTGTCAGGTAACAAAAGCTGTGGAAGGCTGATCCGGGGAAACACAGGGCAGGTTTTCTCTCAGAGATGAGCCAGCCAGCTGTATGTAAGCATTCTTTTGGAACGGATACATCACCCCTCCTACGTATTTTTGGTTGTCCTCTAAAGAGGATGCCTCAATTTAGGAATTAGTAATATCAGGTAATGAGTTAAAGAAATGAGCGTCTCTTGCCAGATCCTAACCAGAGTTCCATCCCCAGACAACAGGAGGGCATGAGAGAATAATCTATTGCCATTTACAAATATACCACCACTGTAATGTTATGTTATAAAAGTAGTTTGAATAACAGGCAATGCATTTATAAACAGGGGCCAGAAGTCTCGGCTTTAGCCTCTAAGCTCTTCTACTACATAAACAAGTCATGCTCCACATAAGAAACACAAAAATTCTCTTCATTGATGGAATATAAATTGGAAGAGTTATCAGGCCAAGGGCTTGAAAACTAAGCAGGTATTTTGGTAAATTTAAGCCATGAGGAGAAAAGGTATCTGATGTGACTAGTCCGCACTGGAAAATGTTAGCAGGGTAGCACAGATTGTAAAATGCTTTGAAATAAGCAATAAGTGGATAAGAAACTAAAAGAGGCAAAAGAGAAGAAAAAATTAAACTAACTGAATAATAAATAAGTAAGGAATAGAAGGGACCTAAAGGAAAAAATAGTGAATACAAGCAAAGAGAGATGATTTTGTGAACTAGAGAGCTTAGGAAGAGGTGTGAGAACTGATTTCTCACCAAACTGAAAAAAGAGTTCTGCTGCAATTTCAGACCAAGGCACCCCCAGAACTTGTTTTCTAATTTCAAAAGCTATACAGTCCTTACTCTGGTCCAGGTTGATGCAGCTCTGCAGACACCCACCGATGTAGATTCATAGGCTATAAATCCAGGTGCAATAGTTCTCAACTATTTTTTTGCAAGGCTTAAATTTACTGCTTTATTCATCCATTTAGAAACTGGGGATCTTTTCCAGTACAGCAGCAGTCATTAAAAAGAAAAAAGTAATCTGTAATCTGCCCTATTGATTTTATATGCAATTAAAATCCTGGGTTTAGAAATATTAATGTTCTGACATATTCGGTCATAGTTTACTAGTTTCTGCAGTGAGTTACCTGTGGGGTTTTTTTGCCAGCTTCTTGTCTCTGATTAACAGAAATCTAAAATCATTGTTGTGATAAAGAGGCAGCAAGTGCTTGAAGTGGGGCAAACTGAATGCTTGCATTAACACATTGCTTGCACTTCTGAGTTCTGGAATTCTCCCTTCTGGATTTTGCCATCCTTTCCAAACAACTTCCAGGTTTGCCTTTGCAATATCGTGCCATAACCAACACACTGTCACTCTTTAAACAAGTGGCAAACTTTGAGATCTTCAGCCAATTATTTGAAATTTCTAATGTTTTAAATCTGATCAGTGGAAATCATCTTTCTTGCATATAAAAATTTGCTGGATTTCCATGAGAACAGAAAAGTTTCTCAGATGTGTTGCAGTCAGACTCGGGACAGCATCCACTGTTAACAGGTCATGTGGCAACTTATCTCCTGCATATGGTATAGAGTCAGCTGTTCATCTTGGTGTTAGATTTGCACTTGATGTGTGTGTGTGTCTGTGAAGAAATAGATGTATATATACATGGCCCTATAACTGACATTTCTGCATAATTTTGGTAAAGAAATAGGTCCATAAGTTTGAAAGGAAATAAAAGTATGTAACGCAGTTTGACCACTTAAGTGAAAGGTAACTACTTGCAACGTGAACAGAAAGAATGTTTAGTTAACTTGAAAAGACCTCCTGCTTCCAAATGCTTTCTCCTTTCTTCTGAAAGGCAATTTAGCCAGGTCTCATTTTACAATATGATATCTGAAAATACAAGGCAAATTTTTAAAGATATACCCATGATATCCATCACTTTTGATTTAGAATAAAAATAACCAAAGGGATCACTAATGTTGCTTTCAGAAGAGTAAAAGAAAGCTCTTTTACATGCGCATATTGTATAAAGATGTCAGATTTATGCTTCAGTAAGAGGAAGACAGAATTGCTTTAAGAATTTTTTTGTTACTTTTTCAGTCAGAAATATGAGGTGAAATATTTATTGAGGTTTCACCAAACTGAACTTAAGTTTGCGTGTTCTCTATATTTACAAATAAGCCAGCAGAAATATGACAGATATGACTGCCAGGAAGCCAGACAGGAAGACAGTGGAAGAAAATTCTCGGAAGAAGCACTTGGATTAAGCAGCTGTAATGATAGCACCATTTGCTTTATTGCAGTAGAATCTTTAATCAAAACAAAACACTTTTTTCTCCTTGATCCTCGATTGCTAATGCATGCTTACATACATGTCCAACAGTTAAATACTGCATAGGTAGTGCAGAGACTGTTTCCTCCCAGTCTAATCTTTAATTGTGAGTAATAATATAAAATAATGTGCATGTGAAAGCAGGAAACATCTTTATATATTTCACTTCCCATGGAAAGCAAAATCAAAGTTGTAAGTATGGGCTTTACAGTGTATCTTCAGTGCCTTTCTTTGAGAAGTAGCCTCTCTGTAGAAAAGTTTTTTACCGTTTGGAATGTACTCTAGCAACAGGAAACTGAAACAAACACTTATGGGCTTCAGTGAAGCTTTTGCTATGTCATCACCTGGGAAATCATGTAAATAGAAGAAAAATGAGGACTGGGAGAAGAAATATAATGTGACTAAAGAGTTGCATGGTGAGCAGGTGAGGAGGTTTATGGAGGGGATCTTACCCTAAAGAGCTATGTTGGAGTGGTCCAAAGTAAGTAATGACATAGAATAATGATGAAATGGGGGGGATGACGACGACACAAGAAAAAAAACAACCTTGGAAGACATTGTAAGGGTATTACAGTTGAAAAATTGAATTACTTTGTTTAATGAAATTATAGAAAGAACAGTAATTTTAACAACACTAGTTACTAATGCACATTGAGGGTTTAATCACAAGCTCTTCAAACATACAACAGAAACGGTTCTACAAACTGAAGGTTCTCATCATTTGATGATGAGTGGATTGTCTGAACATATATTTATGTTCCAGATGACTGGGTGCTGTGAGTGTGCCAAGAGCATGAGTAAGTCCCCTATGACCTTACTGAGTGTCAGGCAATCTCTTTTGAGTAGGTGTACGGAACTGAAACTATCAGTGTTCAAAGCACTATTAAGTTCTTACCTGAAATACAGTGTATAATTCCAGAAAAGTAAATTCAGACTCGAGTGGAAAGGAGCGGGACAGTGCCTGGATGTGGCAGTCTGCCCATCCTAATTAGCTGAGGCTCTCTGCAGGTGCATGAACTTGGAGAAATTCAAAAGTGCTATTGAAGTTGAAGGTCAATGTCAGTAATGAACAAATAAACTTTAAACTGGAGGTAAATAATTTAAACTGGAAATGAGAAGACTGTTTCTAGCTATGAGAAATGACATCTGCAATTCTGAGGCATAATCTTGCAACCAGGAGCTGCGAAGTTGAGCACTGTATGCTGCTTAAAGATGGATTTGATGTGTTTAAGGAAAAGTATACAATTACTACTTATCAGTAGTGTAGGGAATTGAATCAAAGACTGCAGGTCCTTTTTTAGTCATTTGCTTCCTAGGAACTGATGTTATGCTTCCACTTTTTTTTTCTTTTTTTTTTTTTATAGAGTTGTCTATAATATTTTTATTAAACTAGCACCAAGTTTTCAGTCTCTCTATGCACACTACAGCATTCACATAATGGGATTTTGACACCAGTTACCTAAGTACATGTTGCATAATATTCCTCTCTTCTTGCACATCTCCCTTGTATTTGCTTTCAGTGTAATGATAAATCAAAGCCTGGTCTTTTCTACTGCCTTCCTCTGCGTAATGAGGAAATAGGGTTTTTTCTACTAATGAAAAATACTTACTATTACTGTACATTTTTAGATGTAAAACTGGGAACATGCTGCACTAAAGGCCTCATACTCCAGTGTTTCTAGCTGAGTATTAGTAGTCATTAATATCTAACACTATGAAATACTCAAATCCAGTCGTAGGGTATGCTTCCATCCAGGGTAAACAGGTGTAAATGTAATGTTTTACCTCACATTTTAAATTGTAGTGAAATTCAGTATGTTCTTAAGTAGCATGTCCAGTAACTGGTCTCAAAAATTAGCTTCTGATAGATTTCTGTGAGATTTAATGGTTCTGGTGTGGAAGTGACCTCAGGATTTCCATTTTTTTTATTTTGTCTTGTCATGGGTTCAGCTGTAACAGTATTTTTCTCTTTAGTAGCTGCTGCAGTGCTCTGAAAGGGGTTCTCTTACCCCAAAACCCAGCCCATTCCCTGTTCTGTATAGAATGCACAGGGAATCGGTTTTGCAATTTTGGTGTCTGTACAGAAGGATCAACAAGTAAAAGCGTCCTGTCAGATGCCATCTCTGCTCTGCTACTTCTTGAAGACATTCAGCTCAAGTCAATGTTTTGCCTAAAGAGGATTAAATAAAAAGAACTACTTTATGTTGTATTAATATCAATGAATGGCTTGGTGTTGCATGAAGCAGTGATTTCCTGGGAAACATGTCTTTGTTTCAGTTGCTTTCTGTTTCAGTTTTGATTAACATTGCTTATATGCTGGTGCAGTGCTCTCTCACCTTTCAGGATTGACTCTGTTGTGCCTATTAAATGTCCCTTGATACAGTTTTGTGTGCCATAAAGGCTCTTGAAACAGAATTTGATGTACTTGAGAATAATCTCGATTCTTTCAACCCCCTTGTGTGCAATTTAAGGGACAATGGTACCTTTTAAAAACTTAGAAGAGAAAAGCAGTGGATTTACAATCCCTGGGAGAATGTTTTAAACTCTTACTAGGGTGCTTATAAAAGGACATTATCACATTTGAAAAACAGAGGCAGTGGAAAACAACCTTTAGAGCTGTAACCTTCAGGGATGCTTTTTCTCCTTGAGGAAACCAATCTTTTGTAACCCATAATTTATTTTTTTTTTTATGCAGGAAACTGTTTTGTCCTTCTTGTTTTACTTTTTTAAATTATCATTTCCGGTATGGTACAGTAGGGCAGACACTAATAGCTTTGCAAATAGTAATCCTAACCCTGCACTAACTGGCAGGGTATCCAGTGGTATTGAGCTTTTGGTAAATGTATAGAGAAAACAAAAAAAACCCCACCTTTTAACAGCATATGAATCTTCTGTGGCTTTAGGCTAGGCTAGTTCAACGTGTGTGTCTCAGCTAAGTGTGCCATGACTGCAAGACAGAATGATTTCATTATATAGCCTGCTCTAAGAGAAATAAACTGTCAATCTCAAGTTAGTTTTTTTTGAAATTATCTTACTTCACACTTTTTTGGTGACACTAGAAGAAAAACTAGATAGGAATAAGACATGAAGACTGAGCTATCCAGTGATGTGGCTTGTTCTCTTGAGTGTTGGTCATGAGGCCAAATCAAGTAGAAGAGAGGGATAGTTAATATATATCCCTGCTTTAGCAAGCAGGAACATACCATCTGTACTATACAGAGGGAACTGCTAATAGTAATATTCATACAAAATATCTTCATATGAAGGAAAGAAATGCCATAGCCGTTCATGTACCTACCTGTTTCTGAATATTAGTGGCCATTACTCTTTTATCTGGGTACTTTAAGCACCCGTTTTGAAGTGTTCATCTCATCACTGTTACAAAGTATTTTATGCTTTGTGTCTGAAGGATGTTGGAAGGGCATATGACAGATTATCTTTGAATGCTGAGGATAATCAGGTGTAATTGCAATTTCTCCCTGTTACAATATTATGAAAGAGAGAAAAGTAATCGTAGTTTCAAAACCGTTAATAACTTGTATAAGTGCCTGTGGTTCCATCTTAGAAATTAAACATCCTGTGAAAAAGCAGGGCAGGAGTGGGAATCCCTTAACTGTGCTATTTACATGGTTGTAAATAATACAAAAGTTTGCCAGTAAGAAGTTAAGCTTTATTTGGCTTACCACTATACAGACAAATTGTAAAGGGCGTCTGCTCAAATAGTTCACATAGTCCCCAGGATATGGAGTCATTAAATAATTTCAATAAATTACTTAACATAATAACATAAAGGATTATCATTAATAGCTGTCTATCATATTTAGGAAGAATCCTGAGATAGGAAAATTTTATGTTTAAGCCAAAAAAAATATTGTACTCAGAGCAGTAATTAAAATATCCCTTCAGTTTGAATGGTCTAACATTGAAATTCCAGCTGCGTGAAAGATTTGTATCACTTTGTATCTCTAGCTTGGAAGCAATGAAATTTTTTTATGTACAGGAAATAATAACCTTTCCCTGAAGAAGCCATTAGCCATCCTTCTTCTGTATGGTTTTCCTCTAGTTCTTCAGTTCTGTATAATCTTCTATTCCAGATAAATAGTGATTCTTTTATAAAGCAAAGCCATCCATATGTGACTGAAGGTGGTATATCTTGAAAATACTTGAAATTAACAACCATTCTTTACTTGAAATGAAATGTCTTTTATTGACACCACTGTTGATGTTCGTCAGTCAATTCTTATTACAAGCATAGTCTACCTATGAGCAAAGGCAATATAAATAATTGAACTTGAGTAAATGCCTTGTGATGAATGTTGTCATAATACTTTTGATAGAGAAGACTTGCCATGCTAGATTTATGCATTAGAAATTCTTTATGAAGAGACTTAACCCTTTTTTTATTTCTAATTGTTTGCATAAGGATTTTGTTGTTGTTGTTGTATGTCTCCACCAGTTTTTGTTGTTTTTAATTTTATAAGATCCCTGATCATGTCCATATATTTCTTTTTACTCACAGATTAAGATATCATGATACACTTATGAAAATGAGACAAATATGAACTTTCCAACAGAAATGTATTTAAGCTATTTTAGCAAATTATTTTTCTTTCAGTTTGAAAATGGAGAATTTTAGGGGGGGCTTTAATAGATATAAATATGCTTTCACAGAACTATTGCATGTATTGCCTTCCAAAATTGGATTAACTGTTATTTGTAGATACTCTTATTTGGGGGGCGAGGGGGAAGAGGGTTTCTGACAACTTGATCTCACCAGTCTAAATATTTTTTAGACACAGGTACTGTACTGTCAGTGTTTAGAAACTATAGTACTATACTGTCAGAATGGAAACACATTTAGATTTAAAAGGTCCATCCTGCGATTTGGTAGATGCAAATTTATGCAGCTACAGCTGCATTCTCAAACATGCAGCATTGTCTGAATAATACAAAGGAAACTCAGGTCAGACTCGTACTTATTGCTAAGTAACAATATTTATCTGGATGAAAAGCTTTCTATAACATCAGATTTTATTTGATTTTGGCAATGAACTAAACTGAGAATGTCCAAATTGCAAATACTATACTTCTGCATTAAGAAGTTTTGAGGTACAGTGCTCTTCTTCAGATGGAAGAAGTCGCTCACTTCTACAAGCAATGGCCAATATTTAGGGCTGGTCAAAGGGTGTGGAAAGATAATATTATTTCCTGCTAGCACTATAGCAGTGTATCTTAGGTCACTTTAGTTGCAGCTCTAAGGCCAGGACTGGTGTTGCTTTTCTCTGTATGCACACAAAGCTGGCACAGGAGAAAATGTATTCTCTACTTTCTTCATCTGTGGCATCATCTGTAGCAAGGAGTCTGTAATATTTTCTGTAATACAATTTATATCAACTCAAAGCTTCTGAAACTATAGGAATCTGTAAACTAAGACCTTTACTTTTTATGTTTATGAAAGCTAATTAAAAAAAAAAAAAAAAGCTGTTGCAATCCTCGTGTTCTTATTTAGTAGAAGCTGTATCTTACCTTTAGGGAAGACACTGCTGCTTTTCAGGTTAATTTTACCAAAGATATGAGTTACACATTAATTTTCTTCATGGATTAGCATGAGTAATTCCATACATGCTGCATTTATGCAGTAGCTGTGTAGGGAGGTCTTTCAGGGAATATTGATCAATACACACCACAAATGTCATACAGAGTGAACTGGAGTAATAACAATGAAGATGCGTTCTTCATTGATAAGTAGGTATCATACCTCATTAGGTTGATTGATAATTAAAGAGTTATCACATGGAAAAGCTGGAAATTAAACTTATAGACAGTATGGAATTGTCTTTTTAGAAAAATGTTAGCATTTTTGCTAAGTATTTTGCTTTTGTTGTATGACATAGACATACCATGTGACATGCTGTGTGACATTTATTAAGGAAAAATGTATTATATGCATTAGATAACCCTCATGAGAGAAAAAGCTGAAGCTTGACTCTTGAATCAAAGTAAGCACCTCTGCTGGCGTACCTGCAACTTTGACAGTTGCCATAAATTACTCCAGTTTTCAGTCAGCAAATCCTCCATTCCAAGCATGTTTCCTACATTAAGAAGAATCAGTTTAGTGTAAAAATGCCTGAATCTCAATACAAATGTATTGTAAAAATGGCTACCCCAGGTAACCAGTCAAAAACAGTCTGAGCCATTTTATATCTTGATAAATACACCTCTTATTTCCAGTATATTATAAAGGAAACTGCCTTTTTCTTTTGGCATACCTTCTGAACATTCCCCACTCTCTAGGTGTATTTATTTGGTTTGGTCTCAAAGCAGGACACGGACCTAGACCCCTGGCTCACAGTGATAGTCAGGATCTACATCATGTAAATGGTCTTCAGTTTAGCTAAAAGTGAACCAACCGAAGTCCAGGATTTCAGCTCATTATAATTTTAAGATACTTGGATGTAGTTTTATAAGTTTTATATTGTACCTTTAACTTATAACTCCTGGTCTTTTATTGCTGTAGTGTTCTTTTTAATTAAAGATCTGGATCTTTCACAAAAGTATTATGTATGACTTATAAGAAAACAGTACATGAGTGACTTACTGTATTAAGAGTGATCTGGTATTATCTATCATGACCTAGTCCCCTAAACTGTGGTATTTCCCCCATTTAAATAAGATGTGATTAAACAGCTATACATGAACAGTTGAAAAGAAAAACACAAGTAGATATTTCATAGTGGGAAACAATCAGAATGCTCCCAAGTGTGTTGATTTGAAACTTTCTTTTTTCTTTTTTAATATCAGAAGCTGAACTAATTGTAACCAATGTCATTTTTGTTTGCATTCTATATACATGTGATACGTATTGGTACCATAACTTTCTAAGGAGAATCATGGGTTGACTGGTGAAAAGATGTGGTTTTCCTCAGCTTCTCTTTTTATGTTGTGGTTTTATGCCAGTTTAAAGATACAGAAGGACAATTAGCAGATGTGACCCATACAAACACTAGATACCATAGTGTTCCTGTGCTGATAGGCCTTTCTCATCTCACCTCCTTGAGGTGACCCTCCTTGTATCTGAGAACAGCTGCCATTGTTAGGGCCTTTTCTGTTAAAAATTGTGTATGCTGTAAAGTATAGCTTCTATGTTTTGGATCTTTAATAAGGGTAAAGAACAGCAATAGAAGAGAACTAGAACTGGAATTTCCCTTCTGCTCAGAAAAAAAGAAGGTTCTGTTCACAATCTCCAAAATTGAGTTCTTGTCTTTATAACCCTGAGAAAATACAGGGTGTTTCTTCCTTATCACCGGATTACTTGATATACTTCACATATATCTTGCTATACCTTATGACATACCTTGACTCCCATGGGATATTCTGGTTCAGACAGAACTGTCCTCTCAGCTGTCCATTGTTTTTTCTACCCTCTTATCTTTAGTCTCTTCCAGTGTGAAGTATCAACCGCTCTGACTTGTGGTTTGTTATTCTAAATGCTTTTTCTTATTCAGCTATTTTCATCACCACTGTATTATGTCCCCTCAGAAAACACCTGGAGCTTTGGGCACAGTGCTTTGCATGTGAATTGGACTATCCTGTTCTCTGTGATTTTTTGTAATGCGTTTATTACCTCAGGATCTGAGAACTTCCTGGTAGTGCATTAAGTAACCAAACCTGTCAGAAGTTATTTACTTCCTTATGCTTTCCTTAGACTTTCAGTGGAATATTTTCATTTGGTATGGTTTTCTGTTGTTATTTTTAATGTGAAACCTATTTATTTGTGCTAGGGAGAGATGAAAGAATTGTTTTGCACTTGTAGCAAAAGTGTTGAGTTCTTGGTTCCCAGGGATAATCATCCCAAAGTCAGTTCCCAAATAAAAAGGAGCTGCCTAGCTTTCACTAAGGGAGAGTTGTGACTTTTTTAGTAAAAAATCTAATAATTGCTACTACTGCTGATATAGAAATAGATCTTTTGGCTACTTAGTGCTTCCAACCATGAAATTCACAGTACTTTATTGATGAGCATTAAGGAAAATAGAAATTCTGTCTATCTTGTTATTTAGCAATATGTTTAGAAATGTTTCCTAGAACATCAAATTGAATTTCTGTTATAGGTAGTGTAGTCAACAGTATTGCTTCAAAAGAGGGGTAGGTTTCAGTTCTTAACAGATATTTCTCTAAATAATTTTAATAGTGGAACTCGTTTGTAAATGCAATTATATATTCAGGTTACAGCTAATTTCCTTTTGTGTTATCTTCAGAAGTATTGTATTAGCTTCATCATTGTCCTATGTTTATGTGCAGTGATACTGTCAAACGTGACATGCTTGAAATACCCATGATGGAAACACAAATGACTATTAGAATAATATTATAAATATGTAATTTATAATACTAAATATTTTTTCATTAATTATTTTACAGATTTTTGAGGTAAAATATTATGTGCGAGCTAATTCACACATAGCCGTCTGAGAACTGAGTCAGAACTGGGTTTGTATTTGTTATCTGATAAGGAATGTTGATTGTATCATCTCTGTCCATCCCCTGAATAGCGAACACTGAGGCTCTCCCTGCTCAGGAATGCTTATTACTGTTAGACTGGCTTCTATACCAAGATAATACAGGTCAGAAAGTATAGTAAATTGGCAACTGCTCTAACTGATGAAACAAAATAATTGCAGTGTGAGGCAGGAAAAGTTCTAAACTAATTTTTCCTTAGCAGAAAATAGGTATTATCCAATACAGAGAAATCTATGTTGAAGTAACCTTGAATTTTTGCCTTAAAGCCAGGAATTTTCATTCACGGTAATGCCTATATCTGAGCAGTAGCATAATGAAACTCCAGCATCTAGAGAAGTTTCTTGCATATCCTCCACCCAATTTAGAGGTGATATTTTTCCAGGAAGGAAGCCTGTATAGCTAGGGCTTTCTTTTGCACCCTTCAGAATGGCGTCCTTGAGACCTTTATAATGCTTTGATGTAAGCCAGACTGGTAAGGCTGTGTCTGAAAACTGGCACATAATGTTTAACTTCAGGAATTCAAAATCAGGTCATTGTACTTTCAGAAGAGCTAACATTGGCATCGCAGCATTAATTAGGAGTGTAGTCAGGAAATTGAAGCAAAAATAATGAGGTGAGTTTGAATATTTTTCTCAAATTCTTGTATGTAGTCAAGAAAATATGTCAATTGCTAATTGAAAAAAATATACAAGTTACAGTAAGAAATATGAGGAGATGGTGAATTAATCCATACTGCTTTGTATCATGAAAATAGAGGCTGTTGGTGGGAAAATAAATGTGAATAGGGTCAGAAGGGGTTACAAAAATATACCACAAACAGGTAGATGACCTAATATAATCAGAGGAGTAAACTTCTGTGGTTCCTTTAATCTCTGTGATTTTCAGTTACCCAATATGAATTTTAAATGGGTAGACAATTGCTAGGCAGCAAAAAATCTTATTGCTGCTTCTTACCATTTCTAGCAATAATGCCTTCTAAAATGCCTGCAGATTGTTTTATCTTAAACTTATAATTCCCTTTCTACAAGACATACCATTTTGCTCTAGCAGAAGGGATGCTTTCAAAAACTGAGGTAAATATCTGGTGCAGCTTAAGGATACACCTTGAAGCAGAACGTAATATTTGCATAAGAAATGACTGACTTATCACACACATTTTTTTGTCTAGTTTGCTAGCTTGCCTCCAAGGGGTATGTAAGCCCGAGAGAGAGAAGTCAAACGTAAAAGAGGTATTCCTGCTTCAAAAGAGCAGTCTTAACTGAGAGGTTAGTGTGTTGTACCCTGATAGAAGGGGTTTGTCTCTCTGAAAAACATGGAAAATTTTGTAGTCAACATGTGCAACTTCTTAGTTGATATATTGAAGATGTATTCCCTGTCTATTATGCTGCAGAAGTATGGTATCATTATATGTCCTTATGCTCTTAGAAACTGAATTACAACATCAATGATATTAAAGATGACAGAAATATATCTATATAGCTGAACTGCTTGGAACTGATAATGGTTTATCAGAGCATTGTATCTTATTTTAATGTAGTGTAACAAAGAATCTCTCTCTGATAGGATGAAGAACTGACATACACAAGGTAAAAATGTGAATTAACTACATACAGCCATCCAAATCATTCAAGGTGCATACAGAAAAAGATTGAAGAAAAATGGTGACTGGATGATGTTGGCCATGCACATATATAGATTATTAGGGAGTGAAAATAAAACTCTAAATTAATACCAGCCATGAAAGAAAGATGTAAAAGGCATGGGCTGGTAGACCATGGTAACAAATATCACTGCTTTATATATTTATTTTTATAAACACTGATGGTTGGTGGCCAGGAAAAGTGTAAAGTATCTTTCCACTCCATATATTTTGTTAATCGCACAAGATTTTCCAAGACTAGCATAGTTGTAATCCATTGGTGAATTGTGAATATGCCTCTCCTGCTTTTGAGGGAGGGGTGTGTGTGTATTAAAAGCCAATGTCTGTTTTAAATCATCAAAAGAGGACATTAATTTCAGTGGGCAGCAGATCAGATTCTTACTCATTGACCACCAGAGTCATTTTTAGCATTGATTCACATTTGCTTTGCTCAGTCAATAAGCTACACACACCACTATCTGAAATAGCCCTCTTGGCTGAGGTCAAGTGTCTTCCACATGTCATCAAGTCCATGACATGAATGGGTCAGAGGTGTTTTGTGGACAAAGGCAGTGATCAGCTGGGATGTAATTTAAGGAGCTTTGAGGTTACGAAACACTAAGAAGAGTTTTGTTAGCAATTAAAATTTGAATAGGTAGTTGCTAAATTCAGTGAAGTAAAACCAGACTGCATCACTGATCCATTTCCCTGAGCAGTGTGTCTATTTCTTACAATTTATCCAAACAGTTGAAAGCCAGAAAGATGCAAGCTGTTTCTGTAAGATTGCCTGGTGTCACATACTGGGGAAAGCCTATGTAACTGTCAGCATCTATCTTGCGTCTATAATCTATTTGTAAGATGTAGACTCTGTTTTATACTTGTTTGGCATTTGTGCAGAACTCAGTGTGTGAACATTTAGACTCCACGAATCACTCAACATGCTCCCAGTGACCTTAGTGGACTCAGTGGATTTACCTTAACAGCACAGAAAGGAACATGTAGCTCTTGAAGTATTTTCAAAATGGTATTGTCTTTGTGACTTATTAAAGACTGGGTTTGTACATTTGTTGTGCT